CAGCATCTTTAATGAACCCAGAAGGGGGGGGGGAAGCTTTTTCCCCCAAATCATTTTCATAGCACACATAATCCTTTTTTTTAAAAAAAATCAATCATGTATTTGTTTTAACCTCTCTTTTTTTTTAAGCACTGCTATTTTTAAATTCTGCCTCTTACAACCTCTAAGCTCTGGGGCCTTTATCCAAGTTATGAAAACAGCATTGGACAGTCCTGTGGCAAGCTTCACCTTTTTCATCCCTGCATGGAATATCACAATGCATAACACACAAAAGGGGCTGGGCTTCTGTCTGTCACTGCAACATTATTTACATCACCCACTTCTGCATTCTTAAGTCATCCTAAGTCTGGATCTGTGATGGCTTCAGTCTCTTAAATCACAAGAGGTTGTCCTGGGCGAGGTTTTCCAGTTAATCGCTTGGTGCGCAACAGCTGAGTCAGCGGCGGGGCCACGTCAGCGAAGGAGGGGATGAACTGCCGGTAAAAGTTCGCAAACCCTAGAAACCGCTGTAGCTGGACACTTTCATGGACCATCACACAAGCCATTTAAACTCTTAAAAGTTGGTCACTGATGACGTTTCCTAATTGGGTAATGAAACATCTGCAAGAAAACCACCAAGCTCAAAGAGCACCAAGGAATCCACTCTTTCTTAACCACACCAGGCAAAACCCACTGATTCATACTTGGATTCCCACATTCTAACTGCTGAAGGGTGCAAAATGCACCATTTCACATTTGTGTCACACACAAGTGCCACTGTTTCAAACAAGAGAAATGTTTCATTGAACAAGGATGCCTGTGAAGCAAAACGAACTACAATTAACAAAATCATACCGAATATGTTCCAAATATTTTCTTTCCATTCCCCATGAATCACAAGATCATTTCTACAAACTACAGATTGGGAAATACTAAGAACTATAAATATAATGGGAAATGGCTTGGCTGTTTGTTTGTTTTTTTTTAAAAAAGGAAGAAGACTCTCACCCACCCAAAAAAACCCCAAAAAACAATTAAAATTAGCAAGATAACAAATCTTGTGGTCATCACATGCCAGTCAAAACTGGTATGATTCTGAGCACATTGTCAGGATGATCCTGTTTCAAACAAGAAAGTGATGCTGAGCAAAATAAATAAAACCACTGTAGTCATCACAATTTTCTTGAAATGTTTATACTATAGATCAATTGTTCTCTTTAATAAAATGCACATGGGGTGACCAGGGAACTTTCCTCACTGATCCCTAAGCAGAAAAATTAAAAGGACACGTGAACATATTTGAAGTAAAGCAAACAGGCCCCCTGGGACAATTTCAGTTCAGAATGACAGCATTATAAAAACCTTGTAGTGGCCTGTGTTGAAGTTACTTATAACAAGTAGCCTCTTATACCAAGAGTGTTCCTGCACATTCTGAAGCAATTCTACTGATCAATGTTTGAGCCATGCACAACCATAGTATTTATCTTGGTGGATCTGTATTCAAAATTTGTGATTTTGAACAGGGGCTGCCTCAAAAAAGAGGGGGTCAACCTACTTTCCAAAGTACCAGAAGGCAGGACAAGAAGCAACGGATGGAAACTCATCAAGGAGAGAAGCAACCTAGAACTTAGGAAAAACTTCCTGACAGTTAGAACAATTAACCAGTGGAACCACCTGCCTCCAGAAGCGGTGAATGCTCCAACACTGGAAGTTTTTAAGAAGAGACTGGATAGCCATTTGTCTGAAATGGTATAGGGTTTCCTGCCTGAACAGGGGGTTGGACTAGATGATCTCCAAGGTCCCTTCCAGCTCTGTTATTGTATAATTCTGATTGGCCGGACCTTGACTAACCTTTGAAATGAACTAAACTCATTAAAAGCAAGGGCCTTTTAAAGAAGCTAAACTGGATTCAGAGCTTCTCCATGCCCATTGTGCACCTCCTGTGGATTTGACCATGATTTAAACAGGGTTTATTTCAAACAAGTCATAGTTCATCACTACAGCTTTAGATTTAAGAACTGCCGTTAGCCAGAAACCAAAAGCTACCATCCAAATCTGCTCAAACCATTTCTGGCTTAGTGTCCAAGCCGTTTCTCATGCTTATTCCTTATTCCTTTCCCTTTGGCTGCAACAGTTGCAAAACGTTACTTTGTGTTAAGGTGCTGTAGGTTTTAAAAGCGAAAATATTATTTTTAATTGCTTTTCAAAGTAACATCATCCCACCGGAGCCTGGAAAGTGGACACAATTATCCCCAGCTAAAATAAACACAAGAGGCGGAACAATTGCTCTCTGTGGGGTGTGTGTATCTGTTCTCTTAGGTATCCTTGTATGTTTGGTTTACAACTGCAAATCAACAAGAAGTTGTCTCAAGCACCTCTTCGGTTTGAAGTTGTAAACGGGGAGGAAAAAAGAGGCGTTCGAGGCGCAAAGCAGATTAATTTTTCTTTGGGTTTTTAAAAAATAAGTGCAGTGGGCCACAACTGGAGCACGACACTTTGTGGGGTTCCTAACCGTCCGCCCTGCTCCGTCTGCAGCCGAAGTAGCCTGCTACTTGACATGCACCAACCGTACCGAGTTATATCTTTATCTGAATGCGAATGCAAATTTGAATGCTTTTTTATCTCCGTGTCTATTCTGTGGCGGCTGAATAGGGTGGCTGCATGTTCCCGGCTGCACAAGGAGGAGTTCCGTGACCTCCCTAATCATCACTGCCACTCTCATGAATGACCTACACAGTCAATGCCTCTCTACTTTCATTCATAAAAATAAAATTGACCTGGTTTTGCTGCAGCCTTGAGAAAAGGAGCAGGAGGGGAAAAACTCAGCCCAGATGAGGCCCCCAGAGACTTTGGCTTGGACCGTATTCAAGAGTGCCCCCGCCATCTGCCTCCTTCTCGCCAGCGGCAGAATACCTCCCTGGAAGATGCTAGAATTTGCACCACCTTTACTAACAGCTAGTACTCCTAGGAGCAAACACCGGGATTCCTACAGAATGCCTCCTTTGAGTGCCAGCACAAGGCAGTAGCTGTTATAACCTCCCCAGCCCCACGTGGAGAATTAGCTCACAAGCGGGAGGGGAAAAAAAATGTTTCCACGTCCCTTTTTTGGAAAACAAGGCCTTGGACAGTGAAAGGCCAAGCGGCTGAACAACACGCCTTAGGAATGGACCAATGGCTGGCCCCCATTTCATCCCCCCAAAGGCCCCGTTTGCCCCTCTCTCCAAAGTCCTGATCCGAAAGTAAACATTTGCGCTCTCCCTGGGGCTGAGCCCTCTTCTCTGTACACGCTGTTCAAGAGAAGGTTTTCACCAAGCTAAGATTTATATCATGCGTGTTATATTTATAGCCTTTATGACCTGTTGAATGCATAGTTTCGCTACCCTAAAACGTTTTGACAGCTTTATTAATGAAATTCACTGCTTGCCTCCAATGTCAAGTGCTGGGGATAAACTGCTGTCAACATTCACTCAAATTAAGGCTGTTTTGTCTTTACAGACGGAACAATTAAGTCTAATTGTTTTTATTTATTCTGGTGGGACTATACACACGCACACCCAACACATCTGATCTTTTGTGTTTCCGGCATTAACCACATTTTCTTCTAAATAAGTTGTGCTTGTTTACGTACAACACAGCAGCGAAACCAAATTGCGAAACCAAATTTTGGTGTTACTTGTGCAGCGTCTTTACTTAGTTTCATTCATGTACAAATAAACAATCTAATCTAATGTAATACTAGGAGAAGCTTCTGGACTCTTTCTGTCTCTCAGGAACGGATCTGAAAAGTTGTATACGGCTGTCAGCAAAACCAAATAAACTCAGCCGGACTGTTTTATTTTTACGTGGCAAAAGTTAGGTATTCCAGCCACTATTCCTTAGGACAGTAACTCTCTCTTGCACATTAAATACAACAGCGTTAAGGCCTTGAGTCTCTTTCAACACAAGGAACTTTTTGAAAAAGTCCTCACAGTTTCCATCAGTAATTCACAATGGCTTTTATTTATAAATTGCTTTTATGACAAGCAAAGGCGGCTGGGAGTTTAAACCACTGAATGCAATCATCCATTTTTCTATTTCCTACACGTTAACATCCCAAGAGTTAAAACCGAACTTTTATCTGTTATTTTCCATTCCATCCAAACGGAAAGATGCCACAACAGAAGCACACCACCGTTGCCCATTAAAACCAGAGCACAACCTGCTTCTTTCACTTTTCCAAAGTACAAAACCCTTTTCACGCGGAACCGGCGGCTGCTGCCATAGCTACGATTCCGAGACCAAGAGACACACCTTGAGTTGCTACTCTTACGTATGGGCGTCTGAGCTAGGCGGACTAATATTTGCTCAGGGTTTGCTCCCGCAATACCTGGAGGAAATATCGCTCCTCTCTACCTGCTGCTTTCGACCAATTTGTCGCCGAGCGGAGTCTGAAGGCAGCCCCGAGCAGCACTTTGCAAAAAGAGAGAGGGGGGGGGCCTCTTGCCCCAAGAGGACTAGGAGCATTGATCGACGGGGGGGGGGGGCTGCTCTTTTTGCACCGATACATGGGATGGTTTCTTTTTTTTTTTTAATCCCAGCGCAAAGGAGGGGAGCCCGGCCGAAGGAGCAGAAAAAGAGCGTCCAGCCAAACACCTCGGCGGGGGGGGGGAGGCGGAACGGACCCTCCTCTGCACGGTCCCCCAACCAGCCGGGGGAAACCCCGCGGGGTCCGAGGGGAGCCCCGGTTCGGAGAGAGCCCGGCCAAAGCAGCCTGCCCCCCCCAACACACCCCGACTCCCCCGGGGCAGGAGGGCTCCGTCCCCGCGCCCGAGCGCCCAGCACCTTCTCCCGGAGGCTCTCCAGGCTTCCGCGCCGACGAAGCGGCCGCTCCTTCCAGCAGGCGGGCTCTGCCGGTGCCCGGGAAGCCCCCCCACTCCCCGGCCCCGCGGGCTCCCCGGGGAAGGGGGCGCAGCAGGACCCCCGCCGCCCCGGCCTCCCCTCGGCGCCCCCGCCTGCTCCCGCGGCCCCCGCGGGCGGCTCACCTGGCGGCCGGGTGGGCGAGGCGGGCGCCGGGAGTCCGCGCGCGGCGCCCAGGCAGAGCAGGCAGAGCAGGGCGGGCCGGAGCCCCCGCATGCCGCCTGCGCTCCGGGCCGCGGGGGCAGCGCTCGGCCGGCCGGCCTCAGCCATCCTCCGGGCGCATGCCGCGCCTCCCCGGCTCCCCGGCCAGGGCTCGGGCGCCGTCGGAGGGTCCTGGGACGGAGCCTGCCGCCGCAGCCGTCGAGCGCAGCCGGAGAAGCCGCTCCGCTCCTGCCCGCACAGCGCTCCCGCGAGGTAGGCGGGACGGGTTGCCCGGGAGACCCCCCACCCTCCCCGGCCCGCCTCCCCGCGCGGCCCCGCCCACGGCCCCGCCCACAGCCCGGGGGCGCCTCGCCCCCCGCCCCCCCGCCCGCCGCGCCCATCTGCCGCGCGGCCGGCTCCGGGGTCGCTGCCCCTCCCTGTCTCTCTGCCGGGGGGGGGGACAGCGGGCGGGCAGCGGCCCCCGCAGCGGAGAGCGGGGCCAGCCTCTCGGCAGGGGCGGCCGCGAGCCGATGCGGGGCGGAGCGTGCCCCCCCCGGGAGGAGGAGGAGGAGGGAGGGACTGCCGGTCCTACCTGCAGGGCTGCCGGCGGCTTTCAGCCTCCCTCTGCCGGCGAACGGGCGCGAGAGTCCGTCTGAGGCTGCCCGGTTTGGAGGCAGCCCTTCGCCCCGGGGATGGAGGGGGGACGAGCGGGGCAGCCCCCCCCCCAGATTTAGGGCAGCAGACGGAGCTGGGCTGCCCCGTCCAGCCTATCAAGGGCAGTGAGAGCCCTCGAATTCTTGGGGTGGGGTGGGGGGGATCCAGCCCGAGCCCTGCCCGAAGACCTCCCGTGCACCCTGGCTGGAGGTTTTCAAAAGAGGCTGGCCAGCCCTTTGTCCGGAATGGTAGCGGGTCTCCTGCTGGAGCAGCGGGTCGGACTAGAAGACCTCGGAGGTGCCTTCCGACTCTGCTCTTCTGCACTCTTAATATGCCAGTCCCATCCCTCCTGCAGGCCGTCTGGATCAGAACCAGCGGCCGTTCCCCGCTCTTATTTTTAGGTGGGATCCAAGAGGAAACACCCCTGGAAGCCCACCCCGTGGCCAAAGAGCGGGCGCCCCAAGGACCGGCCCCCGGGGGTGCCACCACGGGGTAAAAGCAGCAGATAGGGGGTGACTCTGCCCGTAGCCTCCAGCTCAACCCTCAGGGGGCTTCACCCAGGCTTCTTCGGGGCAACCAAAAGCTGCTTCTTCTTCTTTTTTCTTCTTCTCAGGAACGAAGCTCCAGGCCTTCCTTCTTGATAAGTGCTAAACTGACTGAGGCTGCCATTTGGGGTGAAAGAGCCCCCCCCAAAAAAAACCAGTGCCCGCCCCAAAGAGGGGGCCCCTCTTTGGGGCGGGCACTGCAAGCACAGCTGGGACGGGAGGGAGGTGAGTAGGGAGGGGTCTTTGCCCCAAGGCCAGAACTCTCTTTTGGGGGGGGGGGGAGAAAGGTGTGTTTTGCCAAAGAAAACTTTGCAAACTCTGGAGAGAACGAAGCCCCCAGGGGATAAATGGGTCCCAGCCCAGGAGTTTAAACAGGAAGAGAAAAGCTGAGACTTTTTTTTTTAATTTTTAAATTATCTTGCTTTCCCGGTGCTTTCAGATTTCTTTTGGGAAGATGGGCTGCAAAGGGGCCCGAATTAAGGGCTTCAGCTTTTAAAGGGCTGTTTCTCCCTCTTTCCCTGCTGTTACATAAAAAGGGGTGAAACCAGTTCCTCTTCCCGGATCTCGTTGGTGAAGGAAAAGTCCTCGGGTCAGGAATGCAAGGGGACCTTTTGGGAAACTGTCCTGCTTGAGACATTCCTGGAATGTGGACTTCCGAAGGGATGGTCCGAGAATTTAATCTTAAAACAGAACCCTCTGCGCTTTCCTGACGGGAATGGCTGTGTGTGTGTGTGTGTGTGTAGGGCACTGGTGATGGGCATCCATTCCAGGATTCAGGAAAGTGTCCAGAGATGGCAGAATTCCTGTGAAAGCAATTTGTATTTCTCCAAAAGAGCTTCCATCTCCATTTTTGCCTAGACTTACAACCATTTGTTTGGCAACTGTTCAAAGCTATAAAAACAGTGGAGAAAGGTTACTTATGACCGGTCCTCACCCTAATGACCACCCTTCGTGATCAAAATCCAGGCGCTTGGCAACCTCGCCGTGAATTTGTGACAGTTGCTGTGCCCCCCCCCCAGGGATCCGGTAATTCCCATTTGTGCCAGCTGGCTTCCGATAACAAATGGGGGCTGGGGGGACCAGATTCGCTTGATGACCATGTGATTCGCTTAACGATGGTGGTTGTACATAGAGGACTGCCTGCATAATGAAATGGTTGAGTTTGCTATCACAGCAGGGACACTGGAGGGGGTCAAAAAAGGCAAGTTGCCAGTTGCCTAGGATACCATCAGATGCCATCTTGACTTTTTTGATCTTATCCTGCATAGACCCCCCCCCCTTGCTGTCCCTTGGTAGTCTTTAGTTTTCTGTGTGTGTGTGTGCCTGGGTGTCGCTGTGTAGGAAGGTAAATGAACGTTGTACAGGCAGAGCAAAAACAACCATAGGCTAATTTATTTTTTTGTGAATAACCCAACCGTCCCAGGGACTATTGCAAAGCACGGGGCAAAAGGTGAAGATTTAATAAATGAGTCCTTTTGGGGGGGGAAGAGAGAGAGAGAGAGAGAGCATCCATTGGAAACAAATAGTAGGAGTTGCACAGGGCAGTTCCTAATGAAAGAACGTTTAATAGGAGGTTATATTGGGAATCAAAAACTGATTCTAACCGGCAAAAGTCAACAAGGACATTTCAAACAAGTGGTCAGTCTGTGGCCAGTGAGGCTGTTAGCCCACGTTGTCAACACCCCCCTTCCTGCCCAGTGTTGTTTTCGTGGAAATCAGCAAATAATGCATTTCTTGGGAGTACAAACCAGTTGTTATGAGTTTGTTTTCTCTTTGCCTACGTGAGGTTTACAACGGAGAGTTCCAGAGTTCTGGAATCCTTGAAAATTGTATTTTTATTTATTTCTCACATTTTTAAAGAAAAACAAACAAACAAACCAGCACCTCTGTCATCCTTGTGCTTTTTCTTTTCTGATGGAAACCGTCGATGGAGAGAGAGAGAGGTTAAGCAAGAGAAGGGAGTCCTCAGTTTATGGCCATCCGTTCAGCAATTCTTCAGAATTACAACGGTGCTGAAGAGCGGATCTGCAGCCGGTAGCCAGGGGAACAGCCGCTGCAGGGCTTGTGGGTCCCATGATCAAAATCTGGGGGTTTGGGCCAGTCCACCAGCCCTGGCAACTGACCCCAGGGGTGATGCAGCTGTGGGTCTTTGGGAGGGGGGAGCTGCCCGAGCCCCCCCCCAGACCCGCCTCGTCCCCTGAGTCACTCCACCAGCAACTCCTGCGACCACTTAACAATCACAGCCTCGACTGCTAGGAGTGCAGTCATTGAATAAAGCAGTCCCGTGGTGCCTTGACTTAGGACCACGACAAATTACGGCCAAAGTTCTACACTTCGTTGTGAGGACTGCCTGCAATTACATCCCCCCCCCCTTCCAGGCAAAGCCCCTTCCAATCCATGCGTTGCTGAAGCATTTGAAGGACATTTGCCTGGCTGAGGAATTCTGGGAGTTGAAGTCCAGGGGTTTTCAAACTTGGCTCTTTGATGACTTGTGGACTTCAACTCCCAGAATTCCTCAGCCAGGCACGCGTGCCTGGCTGAGGAATTCTGGGAATTGAAGTCCACAAGTCATCAAAGGGCTAAGTTTGAAGCCCACCTGCTGTAAGAAATATACAGATCACGACCACAATTGAGCCCAAAATTTATGTTGCTAAGCGAGACCGTTGTTAAGTGAATTCTGCCCCATTTTACGACCTGTCTTGCCACCGTTGTTAAGCGAATCACTGCAGCTGTTAAGTTAGCAACACAGTTGTTAAATGAACTTGGCTTCCCCCATTGACTCTGCTTTCAGAAGGTCGCAAAAGCGGATCACGTGACCCAAAGACGCTGCAACAGTCATAAGTACATGACAGTTTCCAAGCGTCTGAATTTCGATCATATGGCCACAAGGGAGGCCGCAACTGTCATGAGTGTGAAAAATACCCATAGGTTATTTTTTTCAGTGCTGTTGTAACTTTGAATGGTCACTAACTGAATTCTGGGTGGCTTTAGAAGACAAAAATTCTTAGCTGCTCAAATCACTCTTTGGCTGGGAGGGAAATTGAAGGAATAAGGAGGGAAGGATCGATTTGGGATAATTTTAGTTCTTTATTAGCAGTCAGAGGGGGTGTAACTGAATATAGTCACTGGACATAGATCTCACTAAGACCCACTGCAAATAGGCCAACGTCTACTTAACTGTGTAGTAAACTGGAGGCTGAGTTGGGGCCACGCAAACCAATACAGAAACGGCATTATTGTTGATTTTATTTAATTAGTGTGATATATTTTGGACCTGCTGTCCATTTTCAAGGACAGCAAGCCAATTTTTAACAACAAAAGGAGCTTCATCCCTTGAAAGTTTGAAGTACCATGTAAATTAGACAAATACCAGATTTTCTGAAATCTGTTTCTTCTTCTTCTTCTTCTTCTTCTTCTTCTTCTTCTTCTTCTTCTTCTTCTTCTTCTTCTTCTTCTTCTTCTTCTTCTTCTTTCTTCTTTCTTCTTTCTTCTTTCTTCTTCTTTCTTCTTCTTCTAGTGGATTTAGCACCACTTGGGCTCCTACACATCACAGAGAAGATCCCAGAGAAGACGAAGAAGTTGATGGTCCTGGCTGAGTAGTTTCCCAAATTAGCATTCTGGAGGAGATGTTTCCTGATCAGCCGGGCTCCATCTCCTGGGTGAAATAATACAATAATGTATTAAATGATTAGCTGAATTACTACTTTAATGATTTAAGTTTCACGAGTATTTTGAGTAATGCATGCTTTTATCTTTTTTTAATGCAGCCTGTCTGAAGTCGTGTTGAAGTTGTTTGGGTGGAGAACCTATCGGGAGATTGCGGCCAATGTTGGCATAAAATAATATTCAGGAGAAAGGCTTGTGGTGATGTTTGTGGCATACAATCCATCTTTGTCTTAATAAAGTTCGTCTC